AGCTACCATGACACAAATGTTTAGCTCGACCTCTGTAAAAACAGATGTATTTGTAGCTTTTTTGCATCTGCTGAGCTCAGCCGGCTTGGATTGGAGCACCTCTGAATGTTATTCGATTGTGAAACCATAGTGTCAAAGTGCAACATTGCAGGCCACTGTTGTGAAAGTGAAACTCATATTATACAGATCCATTAGACAGAGAGACATATTTGAAGCCATTGTTTCTTGTAATGTTGATGATTATGATTTAAAGACAAAAATATATACTGTACAGACAGGAAAAAATTTGTTGGTACCCACTGGAATACACAATGGTCACAGAAATAACTTGAATATAACAAAAGTAATAATAAATTAAAATTATATCAAACTTAACCAATGAATGTCAGACGATGGTATTCAACCCAGTGATTCAACAGAATTGTTAAAAAAATAAACTCGTGGAACAAACCTGGACAAAAATAATGGTACCCCTAGAAAAGACTGAAAATAATGTGACCAAAGGGACATGTTAATTCAAGGTGTGTCCACATGTGTCTACAATCTTGTAATTAGCCAGTGGGCCTATAAATAGGGCTCCAGGTAGTCACTGTGTTGTTTGGTGGCATGGTGTGAACCACATCACATGGACCAGAAAGGAAAGAGTTGTCTCTGGAGATTAGAAAGAAAACTACAGACAAACATGTTAAAGGTAAAAGCTATAAGATCTCCAAGCAAGGATCCATGGGACTGTAGCCAATCTCCCTGGATGTGGCCACTGGAGGAAAATGAATGACAAAGAGGCAGATAATCCGAATGGTAACAAAAGAGTGCAGAAAAACTTCTGAAGAGATCCAAGGTGAACTTCAAGCTCAAGAAACATCAGTGTCAGATCGTACCATCCATTGTTGTTTGAGCCGAAGTGGACTACATGGGAGACGACCAAGGAGGACACCATTATTAGAAACAAATCATAAAAAAGCCAGAATGGAATATGCCAAACTACATGCTGATGAGCCACAAAGTTTCTGGGAGATTCCCCTTTGGCCAGATGAGACAGCAATGGAACTTTTTTTGCCCAGACACATCAGCTCTATGTTCACAGATGGATAAATAACACATATCAAGAAAAGACCACTGTCCCTACTGTGAAACATGGAGGAGGCTCTGCTTTGTTCTGGGGCTGCTTTGCTGCATCTGGCCCAGGGTGTCTTGAATCTGTGCAAGCTTCAAAGAAATCTCAAGACTATCAATAGATTCTAGAGAGAAATGTGCTGGCTAGTGTCAGAAAGCTTGGTCTCAGTCACAGGTCATGGGTCTTGTAACAGGACAATGACCCAAAACACACAGCTAAACACACCCAAGAATGGCTAAAAGGAAAACATTGGACTATTCTAAAGTGGCCTTCTAAGCGTCCTGACCTCAATCCTAAGGAGCTGAAACATGCCATCTGGAAAAGGCGCCCTTCAAACCTGAGACAACTGGAGCAGTTTGCTAGCGAGGAGTGAGCCAAAATACCTGTTGAGAGATGTAGAAGCCTCATTGACAGCTACAGGAATCATATACAGGAATTGATTGTCTCATAAGGTTGTGCATTAAATCATGGGTACCATAGTAAACACCCTCGTGAGCTGCTAGGTATCTGATATTCATTCTCTTACTTCGGAGTATTTGAAGTAAAGAAAAGCTTCTGTAAAGCTTCAAGCTGCAGAACAGGTGAGTTAACCATTGATTCAGGTGTGTTGGAGCAGGGGAACAACTAGATCATCCTGGACCGGAGAGTGTTGATTTAGAGCTTATCCAAATCACAAAACTAAAGGCTTGAAATATTTCAGTCTGTGAGTAATTAGTCTATAAAATCGGTTTCAATTTCTGAAAAAGGCAAAAAAAAAGCATGTTTTTCTTCAATTTCTTTAATTCTTTTTCATTGTACGTCAAATGACTGCTTTATAAGACTGTCATTAAACTCTATCCTGTGGTTCATGAGATATTTTATGAAAACATTACCGCCTACCAGCCTTTTGAGTTAGAATGGGAAGATAAACAGAAAAGAAACTTGGAATTCAGATTTCCACTTTTCTCCTAAGTCAGCAGTTCCATTTCAGAGCAGTTTTTCTCCTTGAAAGCCCCAGATTCAGACAGCGTTAACGCAACAACCTAACACTACTGGGCTTGGTGCAAGATAAAGAAAGGGGGGGGGGGGGGGGGGGGGGTACAAAAACAGATGTATAATTCTATAAACCAGAATGCTGATGAGGACCTTTCTCTGGTTGTTTGAGAACATTTTTCTCCCTTTTTTTTTGTTTCTTTCTCCTCTGTTGGAAAACAATTAACTGAGTGAGATGAGTAAGGGCCCTGATTCTGTCACAATCAGCGTTTCTCGTCTGCTGATGTGGAGGTTTTAGGCTTCCTTACATGCCCCCAGCGGGGGGGGGGGGCGTAATGCACAATGCAGTTCAAGACCTGAAACAGCCTCTCAACTGCACTTACACTGCACCTTTTATGGTGAACATTAGCACACACTGTGCCGCAGCGAGCACTTTGTGACAGGCGTCAGCCCTGCAGACGTGAAACATTTCAAAGCTGTTTTTACACAAGTTTGGATGTTTATTGTCGAGAGAGACTGAGAGTAGCTGTACTGTATCACATCGAAGTACAGTCAGTATAAAGACTGTGTTATTAGAAGATTCGTTAGGGATTTGAATCTGGTGCAAATGCAAATTGATCTGAATCAACTTTGTTAGATCATGTTAAACCAGATTTTTAAATAAACAAGAACCTTTTTGTTTAAAAGGATACTTTGCAACTTTTTCATATTTTAAAATCATTTTCTGGAGCCAGTGTGTGCTAAAATAACTCTTTACTGGGTTACTTGAGGCAGCAGTGGTCAGAGGGACTGGCGGCACCTGTGCTCGGCAGCCTCGCCTGTCAGTGTGCCTCAGGGAAGCTGTGGCTGCATCATAGCTCATCACCATCAGTGTGTGAATGAATGAATGATACACTGTATCATCCTCTGACTCTGAAAGGCGCGTTACAAGGCAGAGTCATTTATCATTAGTTAATGAAAGGTCGCCCAGCCCCTGTGGCCAGTACATTCCACTTGCAACTTCAGCCTGGCAGCTGGTCTGTTGGGACTTCTTTTAAACGCGTTTTAGATCATGAACACGGCCGATTTGTTTAATTCAGTGATGAACCACTTCTGTAGACACCAAGGAAGGCTGGGGAGAAATTTCAGCTGTTGAGGTGTTAAAAAGATGAAGGCACAGTGAGATTTTGCTGTTGGTTGTACAAACAGACACTAGCGGATGCTAAGATCAAGCCAAAACTGCCTAGTTCCCTTTAAAACAAGTTTTTTTTCTTTCAATAAAAAATAGAAGTTTTCACTTCACTTCACTTACTGCAGCGATTTATTCCTAAAATTGGTTAAACTACTGTTCTAGAATCTAGTATCTAAATTTTCTAAACGAGTAAAATCTTCTCACCAAAACTTTACATTAATTGATGGGCTTGTGATGATTAATGCAAGACAAAAGTCTGGATGATTTAAGACACCAGGATCTCACCAAACACCTCACAGCCACAGGTGAGTCGTTTTCAGCATTGATGCACATTTTTGGCTCTCAATCCGTCATTGACAAGCAGATACTTAAGTCGCATTTAAATCTTTTAAATGGAAATATTACCTTGAGGGACTAAATGCACCAACCAAATGATCTATCTATCTATCTATCTATCTATCTATCTATCTATCTATCTATCTATCTATCTATCTATCCATAAAAAAATTCTACTAATGTATAAATATTTAGGCACCTTATATATATATATATATATATATATATATATATATATATATATATATATATATATATATATATATATATATAATTACACTGATGTAAACCTTCTGAAGTTTATTTTTCCAAACATTAAGCTCCAACAGAATCAGAAATGCACACACTAGTGGCCAACTACTGGAACTGTTATCTTAATAGATGATAGATAGATAGATAGATAGATAGATAGATAGATAGATAGATAGATAGATAGATAGATAGATAGATAGATAGATAGATAGATAGATAGATAGATAGATAGATAGATAGATAGATAGGTAGGTAGGTAGGTAGGTAGGTAGGTAGGTAGGTAGGTAGGTAGGTAGGTAGGTAGGTAGGTAGGTAGGTAGGTAGGTAGGTAGGTAGGTAGGTAGGTAGGTAGATAGATAGATAGATAGATAGATAGATAGATAGATAGATAGATAGATAGATAGATAGATAGATAGATAGATAGATAGATAGATAGATAGAGATAGATAGATAGATAGATAGATAGATAGATAGATAGATAGATAGATAGATAGATAGATAGATAGATAGATAGATAGATAGATAGGTAGATAGGTAGGTAGGTAGGTAGGTAGGTAGATAGATAGATAGATAGATAGATAGATAGATAGATAGAGATAGATAGATAGATAGATAGATAGATAGATAGATAGATAGATAGATAGATAGATAGATAGATAGATAGATAGATAGATAGATAGATAGATGATAGATAGATAGAGATAGATAGATAGATAGATAGATAGATAGATAGATAGGTAGGTAGGTAGGTAGGTAGGTAGGTAGGTAGATAGATAGATAGATAGATAGATAGATAGATAGATAGATAGATAGATAGATAGATAGATAGATAGAGATAGATAGATATAGATAGATAGATAGATAGATAGATAGATAGATAGATAGATAGATAGATAGATAGATAGATAGATAGATAGATAGGTAGATAGGTAGGTAGGTAGGTAGGTAGGTAGATAGATAGATAGATAGATAGATAGATAGATAGATAGATGATAGATAGATAGAGATAGATAGATAGATAGATAGATAGATAGATAGAGATAGATAGATAGATAGATAGATAGATAGGTAGATAGGTAGATAGATAGATAGATAGATAGATAGATAGATAGATAGATAGATAATAAATAAATAATAAAGACAAGACAAAAATGATTAAAGAAAGGCAATAATATTTTATTTTATACGATGAACAAAGTACAGTTTGTGTAGCTTAAAGGCCCTGCTTTGACCTCTTATGTGATGACTGAGTCTGTTGGCATGCATTTAGTGGACAAGAGCCCTCAGCTCAATAAAACCAGCTACAACAACTAATGGTGTAAAAGAAACCAGATAACAGTGAGCCGATCACTTAGCCTGGCCATTCTGACAACAATCAGCAGCAGGTAAACAATGTTTAAATATGGCGAGTACAAAACACCGTCACCCTGTGTTCACAATCAGAAATATGTTAGAATACTCTTTATCATTTATAATCAGGGATAATATATTCATATTTTACACAACTAAAACAATCTGAGGCATTTTTCATTAACTTTCTTAATTAAATGCTCATATCTTTTATAAGGATGTTATAATTTATATAAATCTTAAACCAGAGTGTCAGGCTGTGTTGAGCCCATTTAAGGGCATAAATGTAATTATTTTATTAAAAAAGAAATTAATTAGGATCACCGAAGCACAAACAGCCCTCTGAACATAGCTGCTGGCTGTGCCTGCTGTACAATCTGACCGTGTGTACTGTTGCACTGTAGAGACACATCATGTGCATAGTACGAGCCTTAGAAACAGACATGAAAATACAGGAACGAGTGCAAAAACAGTCCAGTCCCTTTTTTTTCTATACATTCAACACAAAGGTGCTGAACTAAGAAACATGTGGAAGCATCAAATGTAAGAATCAGTACCGTATCCATAAGTTTTGTTTTCTACTGACACATTCAGTCAAGATCCTAAAGGGGAAAAAACTAACCAAAAAATAAATAAATAAATAAATAAAGGAGGAAAAGTGGGTGGAAATGTCTAATCTGCTGCTTTGGGGTCGAAAGTAAAACACAACAAATTAAAAACACTGTTTGCTCAGTTACCTACACTTCTGACCAAAGAGGACAAGAATTTTTAAAACACCTCTGTAGTGTAAGTCATGCATAGATCAGTATAAAAGTCTGCATTGGCACTATGCTTCTACCTTTAAGTCAGCATTAACTTACTCTTTAATTGGCTGGAAAAATACCCCGACTGAAATGTGCAGCCTTAAATTAACAGAACTGTTTTTGACTAAACAAGCACATAAAAAATGTAAAATAATCAAACTTGAGGTTCTTTTGGACTATTTTTAGTTTTCAGTGTCTGCAAACAGACACACACACACACACACACACACACATATATATATATATATATATATATATATATAATTTTTTTTTTTTGCTTAAAGAAATTGATGTAAAGCTACAGAATTTTTTTGCACATTCTGTTTTTCTCAAGTGGACTACAGGTTTAATGCTCATTTTGCAGCATCTTAGTGGAATTCAAATGTATTTAACATGCTTCTTTTACTAAAGGAATGATTTTGTAACCAGAAAGGATCATCTTGAAGACTTCTATATGCATTACTGACAAACACGATTGTTACCAAAGCACTATATCAATAAATGAAAATTTTTAAAGCTTTAAAATTATGTAGTAAATGACAAATGTCAAATCGAGGTGTCTATAAAGCTTTTAAAATATCTGCACTGAGAAATTAAGCACATGCATTTACTGGAGTAAACACGTTTTCCCTTTTTCCCATTTGAAGTAAACTTTACAGGAATGTCTATGAATTATGATACAAAACAGGGTCCGGCTACTCTCAAGCAGCTTGAACCACACAATCAAGGTTTGTTCTCATCTAAAGAGAATCTCGTCCCATAAACCATCTCCTGCCTCTACCTGCACCTGAAGGGCTTAAGTAAAAAAAGAGTAAAACAAGAGGTTAAACCTGAAACTGTACGAGTAAAGCCTGAGACGAGGCATGCACGGACTATAAATGCATGCAGGACAGGAAGAAGAGAAGTGTGGATTAGAGGAAATGGGGTCAAAGTTCACATGGGACAATCACAAACCCCAAACTGAGCTGTACAAGAAGACAAAAAGATTTAAAGTTAAAAAAACTGCCACAGATTATAAATGCCTTCCTTTTTGTAAACAGTCCTTTATGTCCATCTTCCACGTTGATGTCCGCCGTGTGTCGGCTGACAGTTTAAAGATGAGTAAAGGGGTGTCATGCTGTGCGGTTACAGGTAGGAAGATTTTCAGAGTGCATATCAAAGTGTCTGTATCAGGAAAGAGCCTCGTGCTCCCCGACGTAGGCCCCGTCCATGTTTCTCCCACAGTTACCGCTCCCCTGTTTACTGAGAGACAACAACAGAGACACAGCTTTAGCTCTAGCAACGATGCAGATCTGCGTCAATCACACAGCAATGAGAGGGCAAAATACCACGCTGACAGGTGAGGATTTCAGGATTGAGTATATAAGCTTTGAGCCAAATATCCTCTGAAAGTCACCTTTTTCAATATAAATATTCTTTATCAACTGCAATATAAGCTCTGGCAGCTTTATGAAGGAAACAAGTCATGAAAAGACTCGTTGGTGAGACTATGACTCACGCGAGTGCTTGTCCTGATGCACACAAACTGCTGCGGTCCTCTTTCCGACCCAAGTCGAACGGATTCCCAAAAGAGCGCTTCCTCAACATGGTTCTCACCAGAATCTGGAGGGAATAAGACTTAAGGTTATACCACAGCAGAAATCTATATTCTAATACTCGCAAACACAGAGGTTTACTTTTAAATCTCTAACCCACAGTAACAAATAGTTGGTTTTGACTGCTGTCTATGAAGAAGTGATGCCGCGTCTGTGCCTCCATAACAAGTTAACCCAATGACTTCAACCCGAACGGTAATTTGTCTCACAATATTTGAGATTACCAAGAGGCAGCAAGTCAAGAAGGCCAACATGTGCCTAACACAGGGACAAGAGGTGAAGCGGTTATAGCTGATTCAGTGGTGTGATGGGATGCAGACGCAGGAAAATATGATGAAATTTTACATGTATGACATATAGGTTAGATCATTTATTAAAGGTTTGATTGACTGAAGAACCATTTTTAATGATTATTTCAGATTATAATGGGTCACTTTGAGGTTTTCATGTAGGCTGAACATGCACATATTCTCCTACACTTATCTCCTGCACTGGCTTCTGATAGAAAAGACGGTGAAATTCTAGGATTTGAAAATCCTCACAGATTTATGTCACACTGTGAATTTGCATCCATGGCCTCACCCATCTTGGCTCACATCCACCTACAGAAACGCTTTTTAAACTTTTTTGCAGCTAGGAAAGAGCGGAGGGTGTTTTGGTGATAGTGACTTTGCAACATGGCTGAACATGTTCTGTTAGTCAATCAGAAGTGAGGTGTGTGCATATCATTAATAATAATGAGTAATCCCGCTGTTTTCACCAGCAAACGTCTGCACCTCAGAACAGGAGCATCATAACTTTTTTAATGACTAAAAAGGCACTGATTTACACTAGAGAACACTGCAAATGTATTGAATAACCAAGTAAACCACACCTTTAAAATTATTTTCATTCATGTTGGTGTGCAGCAAAGATGAAGTGATGAACTCACCACTGTAGCCAAACTTGGGATGTGCTTGACAGAATTCTCCACTTCCTCTTCAGTAACTTCAATCAGCTTAGAGCAGTTGTCATCCTCGGGAGGAAGAGGCTCCGCCCCCTGCTTCGTCACCCACAGGTGCACCTGGATACAAAAGGGCTAATGCTATTAATTTTTATCATAAGGTGTTTAAGAAGTAGGTGAAGTAATAAAACAGTTATTGTCTCAGAGGTCGTGAAACGTGAAATAAAAGATCAAATGAAAAGTAAAAGTCACATGACAAAGATGATCACGATCATTTATTTTACAATAATTAAATGTAAACTGCATCTAAAGAAGAAAGGGGGTTACTTTTATTAATTGTAGCTTGTAGAAAATACAAAATCCTTTGTTTCCACTAAAAATGTAATAAAACCAGGATCATTGATGATGAAGGAATGTAAATGACCCACACTTGTATTGCGCCTCTCAGAGTAAGGACTCCAAAGCGCTTTACACTACAGTGTATCATTCATCCATTCACACACACATGGTGATGAGCTATGATGTAGCCACAGCTGCCCTGGGGTGCGCTGACAGAGGCAAGGCTGCCGAGCACAGGCACCACTGGTCCCTCCGACCACCACCAGCAGGCAAGGTGGGTTAAGTGTCTTGCCCAAGGACACAACAGCAGAATTCTCTGTACGGAGCCGGGATCGAACCTGCAACCTTTCGATTACTAGACAACCCGTTCAACCTGTTGAGCGACTGCTGCCCTACACCTCAAAATATCAGTAGCAATAATAAGTGTCAGGAGCTAGAAACCTCAAAAGATGGTAAAGTTCAGATCTTGTGAAGTAGGTTTATGTGGTGAAAGTTTTAGAATATTAACATATTATAGCTCTTTGAATGGCTTCAGTTTGGAGAAATAGAGATCAGTATCTGTAGTATGGAACTCTCTCCCCCTGAGCCTGAGATCAGTGGACTCAGTGGTCTCCTTTAAAAAGCAGCCGAAGACTCATTTGTTCAAGATGGCTTTTGTATGACCTTCTTCACCACTCTCTCTTTATTCTGCTCTCCCCACCTATTCCACCTTCCTCAGGATCCACTGATTTCCCTCTTTCCTGTTCACTCTCTCTCTTAATATTTTTAATTACAATTGTCTATTTTTTGCTCATTTTAAATATATTTTTGATCATTTTCTAAAATATTTTCTATATTTTTATATTTTTTGTTTTTGTGAAGCGCCTCGTGATTTTTATGGGCTCGACACACGGGAGGCGACATCGCCTCTCCTCCACTCATTTTCAATGAGACATGCGCAACAAAGCGATAATCGCGGGTCTCCCTCCTACTAAGCGAAACGCGAAAAACGTGCGTGTGAAATTGTGCGCTCGTGCACGTGTCGTGCACAGGCGACCCAGCGAAGCGATCCCAGAAAGTTGAAACATTTTCAACTTTTCATCGCTGTCGCTCGGACGAGGACCAATCAACGGAGGTTTCATTCACTCACCAATGAGCAGACAGGATGCTCCGTACATCTCCGGGCAAACATGGAGGAGAAGTTGATTATTATTATGTTTTATATAGTAAAATCAGAAGTAAGATTTTACATAACTCGCAGCACCTTGTGAAACATCATATCTACCACTTTATTAACTCTGAACTGCTTAAATAACCTTAATTCCCTCCAGCCTGACACAGCCAAACAAAACAACGGAAGTTTTGATTTTGCCATGGAACAGAACGCGTAGACGGCTTTGCCGCTGGCCGCTGCCGCGGGTCGCCTCCCGTGTGTTAGGTAATAAAAGCGGTGGCGACAAATTTCGCTGATCGCGGTCGTTTGTCGCCTCCCGTGTGTCGAGCCCATTATCTTGAGAGGCGCTATAGAAATGATATTTTCTTCTTCTTCTTCTATCCTACCTAGCAGATGAGCCAATTGCCAATTTGAGAGAAGTCACTTCTAAAGTGTTCTTGCATCTAAATAAATCAGAAATGTCATCACAGTTCTAACAAGTTTTATTTTATAAACTTTTACACCACATCAACTTTCACATTAGGTGGGTATTTATACAGAATTATGTGGTTATTTACATCAAACGTAGCTGCTCAGCTGGTTACTGTAGTGGTTCTGGCCAGAATTTCAAAATAATTTTGTGAGAATAGCCATGAAATCTAGAATTTTTTAAAGTGCATTTTAATGAATTAATTAGAATTATTTTTTGAGACACTTTTAGCTTGTTGTGACTAATTGTTAGCTCACCTGTATGATCAGAAATAAACTTCATTTCTCCAGAGTGAGGTTATTTAAAGAGCTGCGTATAACAGATAATAACTTATATTATTAGGACATTTCCAGAGAAAACATGCTTTAAAAGACCAACAAGCCCTTTTCAGATAGACATTCTGGAACATTTGTGAACAATTCAATCCGGTTTTTAACCGGAACTGTGTTTTCAGACACACCACTTTTGTACCGGAACTTGTCCTTTCGGCTGCCTTCACACAGCAGGGAAAAGTTCCAGATGTCTGACGGCGGCGGGGAGGGTGGTGGGGGGAGAGAGAATCGGACTCATGTTAAGAAGAAGAAGAAGAAGAAAATATCACTTCTATAGCGCCTCTCAAGATAAAAATCACGAGGCGCTTAAGCATAATTCTGCGCACACAAAGACGCATAAGAGACCTGGATGATGAATCACTGAAGCGTGTGATGCGCTCCGTCGCGCGTCTAGACGGTACCGTAGGAGGCGAGCTGCCGTGGTTCGCCGCATGCAACAGTTGCGGGCTATCTAGGTGCGCACAGCGTCCCCCGGTCCCCTCCTCCTCCCCCTCCCCCTTGTCCGGAACTCTACCTCACCAGTCTGAAGCAGCCACCCTGTCCGTAACAAGTCCGGAGCTGTTACTAGGGGCTTCGTCCGGATAAATTCCGGAACATGTTATCCGATGTTTGTATTCAGACACAAAGGTCTTACAGACAGATTCCGGAACATTTCCGTTTTTCATGGCCTGTCTGAAGGGGGCTTCAACAGAGAAAATATAGATTCCCAAATGCCTCGTTGGAAATCAAACCATTTAGATGTTGAAAAATTGTAGAAAACGTGGAGGAACATTTTTCTAAAAAATTAAAGTAGCTAATAATAATATTTAGCATGCAGCTCTTCAAAAACACAATTACAGATTATTAATTAATTGTGGAATAACAGTGTTTGTACCTTTATTTGTGGCACTGATATCCTGGTTTCTGGGTTCTTATCCAACATTTTCAACAACAGATCTTTGAGATCACCTGAAATGTCGGTGCTGATGACAGGAAAGAGAAACACGTGAATAAAAAGGCTGTTAGGATTAGGTGAATGATTGAACCTGATAAGATCCAGAACGTACTGTTCTGGTATCACCACTGGCTGAGTCTTGATCTTTTGATGAAGACTGAGAATACGCTCATCCATGAATGGACACTACAGAGACAAGGAAAGTGTTGAGTATTAGAAAACAAAACACTCCAGAGTAAAACTTAGGAGAAACTTTTAAAATTGCTCTATTTCTGTTAGTGCATGAACTCACCACACCAAAGACAAAGCAGTAAAGAGTCACTCCCATGGCCCAAACATCCAGAGCCTTTGAGAAAAATAAAAAAACACCCAAGTAAATATTTGATAAACTGTTCATTTGGTCTGTGATATTTTAAAGTCCCATGGGTAATGATGTATGAAACCCATGTTCTTGCATTCCTGAAAAGTATCTCCAGATGGCGCTACTTAGCTAAATGGTTGCTCACCTTCCCAGAGAAATTCTTTCTGGTCTCAGAAAGGGTTTCAGGTGCCAGGAAAGCCGGCGTTCCCACTGTGCTGGTCAGCAGAGCATCAGCTCCCTCAAACTGGTTACTAACTCCAAAATCTGCAATCTTGATGTGTCCGTCTTCTCCCACCAGCAGGTTGGAGGGTTTGATGTCTCTGTGAATGATCCTCTGGTAATGCACTGGTAACAAAATAAGACATGAAGCTCATTTTAGTAAATATTTCTCAACATTCTCTGTCCACAGCTAAGAATGACTGTAAAACACTTTATTTTTCTTTATATTTCTCTACAAAGTTCAGATTTCTTATGTCAAAGATGCAAAGCCCTCCCTCTTTTCCTCAGTAGTCTCCTAGACAACATTTGAGCAAAACCACTTCTCCGGAGCTGAAAAGCATTAAGAGCCAGTGAGATGAGGTGAGATGATCCTTGTGGGTGGCTCGAGTTAAGAACAGCTCTGATGAAGGACTTGTGTCGAAAAGCAGGGAAGATTTAAAGGACATGGGGAGATCGTGACAACACTCTAAGTGCTCCCTCATCTTTACTAAATCACACAATTCAAATTTAGACTTGTAAGTTTATTTTCACCTAATTATATCAGGTATAAGATGGTAGTTTTGAAACAAAAAGGCACAATTTGATGACTAAATTGTCTAATTAGAGTAAAATTAAAGTTAAAGCCCAAGTTGTTCTGAATCATCTATAATTCCAGACGAGTGATGGATGACCTGAGAGTGATTATACGAGGATAAAGCGACAGCCTGGCTGGAAAAGTAACAGGATGTTCTGAAAACTCACAATATTCAATTCCTCTGAGAAGGTCCCGGAAGTAAAAACGAGCCTGGTCTTCACTAAATGCTTTATCTGCTGGCACCTCCATTACCGCCCTAGACGCGCATTAGGGGAAAGGAATGGAAATGTAAAAACAACACGCAGGCGTAATTAGCAATCATATCTAATGAGTTTGAGAATGTAGCAGAGCTACAGTGGTTCTGATAAAAGGAGCTTAACTCACCCTTGTTTCACCAGCTCAAACACTGCAGTAAAAGCAGAAACAACTCAGCCACGAAAGCTTTCAGTTATATCACTGTGTGTGTGTGTGCGTGTGTGTGTGTGTGTGTGTGTGTGTGTGTGTGTGTGTGTGTGTGTGCGTGCGTGCGTGCGTGCGTGCGTGCGTGTGTGTGTGTGTGTGTGTGTGTGTGTGTGTGTGTGTGTGTGTGTGAACATACCCATGTACAGATGGTCCTCGCTGGGGTCATCCAAAACCTGGTGCCAAAACACAAAAGAATGAAAAGGATTGGAAACACAAACACAGACACTCCAATCAACATCAGATCATCGTCTGTTAAAGTGACAGGAAGGAGCCTATGGTCTGTATCATGTAATGGGATGTATTTGAGGTTTGATCAAAATCTGATTGCTTTGTCCTTCTAAAAAGAGATTTTACTTTCATGACTTTATAAAACAACCTTTAATTGATCTAGTTTCATGTTATTTCATTAATCATCCCATCTGTTCATTGTTCTGAGGACAGAAGGGGTCCGGCACTTTGAAAAGCTGCACTTGTTAAAAGACAATCAGATTGGAAATAACAAACGTTTATTACCCACCTCTACCAGCTTGACCACATTAGGATGGTCTAGTTTTTTAAGAATAGCGATCTCTTGATAAACTCGCTCTAGTGGCCCTTTAGGTTGACCAGGACCCTCGGGGAGTGATCTGGCTCCACGAGGAGGTGGTCTCCCTGATGGAGGAGAAAGCAACACATGTAAGGAGCAGAAGAAACACACAGAAGGATTAAATACTGATAGGGTTAGTGCGGGCACCACTGGAGCAATACAGACTGCTCATTTTTGTGAAAACCGTTTGCCTCTGACTTACGTGGGAAACCTGCCTGCCTCATCAGCTTCTTCTTGGACAACACCTTCATCGCCTGCAGGCAGACATGGATTGGGATGCGGAGGAGAAAAAGAGGGACAGAGGGGTTGAGGGGGGCCAGAATACAGATGAACAGAGAGGCAGACAGAAAGCATTTGTAAGGAACAGCTCGGTGATATGTGGCTTTTTTGACAGAGCGCCCACTCATACACCTACTGGACAGATGAGTGTCACGTTCTGCGGGCTAAATCTCTCTCCCAGGGACCAGCATCACAAGTCATAAGTTAAAACAGTTAAATTAGCTGTTTGGTCAATGAAAGTATATATATATATATATATATATATATATATATATATATATATATATATATGTATATATAGACGGACGGACGGACGGACGGACGGACGGACGGACGGACGGATAGATAGATAGATAGATAGATAGATAGATAGATAGATAGATAGATAGATAGATAGATAGATAGATAGATAGATAGATAGATAGATAGATAGATAATGTGACTTTAAGCACCAATCCAGTTTGATTCCAAATTAAATGATTTTCTAACAGTTTTGCATCTCCAACAATCACAGCTGAACCATCACAATCTACTGAGAGAGCAGACACATCACGGGGGATCAAACAGATTTTCATAATCTAACTCCATGCACTCAGTTATTTTGACAATAATATAATCACTAAATGTGACGTGAGCTTTGTCACTTGGGAGAACTATTAAAATAATCCCTGTGTCATTTTTCTGTGATCATAATCATAATCAGCAAATTGAAACACTTGAGCAACTCTGTGAAGTCAATTATCTGGAGATATTGATAGACGTGGGGGGGGGGTTTGATTAATATTGGGTTATACACGTGATAATTAAGGAGGGATGAGAGGAAACCATCTGGAAAACTCACATAGTATGTGTTGTCATCCTCGTTGTAAGCCAGCTTGACAACGCCGTAGGAGCCCTGCAGAAAGAGGATAAAACCAAAAGTAGGACTAAGGAAATAAAAACAAACATTAATAATACATAGAAACACACACACACTCTTCTCCACACAGGAAGTGAGTGGGCTGACAGTATTCACTCAAAGGGTACCAGCTGCTTCAAAGGGAGAACAGGGAAATTCAAATAATCTCTTCATCTCTCTTTCATTTTTGATTTCAGGCTAATTAACTGGATCTGGTTTGTGCTACCAAGCTCTGCTTCCCACACACAGGAAGCTCAGGACAGAAAGTAGGCCCACTTAGACGCCTGTGCAGACAAATTCAGACACAAAAACACCAACAGACAGAAAAAGAGAGCGAACGCAGGATCGGTTCCTGCTGGGGGAGCAGATTGCAGCATGGAGAGGCAGCAGATAGCTCATCACACAGTCCAAGAGCTGATCTGATAGCAGGAGCTTCTCCAACAATCCTAAAAGGCTTTAATTGTCTCCACTGGGCTCAAAACTGCACACACCAACATGTCTATTTACATACTGAAACGCAACTACACACACACATTATGCTTGGTAAAACCAACAGTCCACAATATGTGCACAGACACACACACACACACACCCCTATCCACTAAGCCTAATACAACCCTTAGAGAGCACTATTTATACCAGCCTCTCATCCATCTTCCAGCCCTCCCATGGCCCTGGTGGTTTACACAGAGTTTGGGAAAATGAGGACAGCCGGGAGCGAGGATATCAGAGGCTGTTACTGCTTGTCCTTGATGATGTGCGTTTATTTGACAGACGTGCAGTAGGCGGAGAGACAGAGGAAATGAAAGAGTCAGTGAAAAGGGAGCAATCACAGTGAGTCCTCTCGAATGGTACCTTTCCAATCTCGTCTTTCAGTTTGTACTGGTTGAGTTGAACGCAGTCCTTCAGGGGGAGAGAAGCAGAAAGAAGAGGAGAAATTTCAAAAGGAATCACATCAGCAGTTATGTACCTTATACAGTGAATCTTGGGAATTTTCTTTTCCTCTGACTACCAAAGAATGTCTACACATTAGTTTTTTTCTTCCTCTTTTTTACATTTGGAAATTTAAAATGTAATGACTGCTAAATCAGGCCAGGTCCTATCTTCTTCTTAGGTGGAGTAAATAGGCAATTGAATTATTCTGTTTCCACTAATTTCATCCAAAGAAACAGATCAAAACACCCTCAGATGTCACAGATTAATCCCAGAAACAAATAAACATACAAAATTAAAATCGAAGTGGATATGGTAGTATTACAGTTGGGTTTATATATGTAAAGCTAAATAGTAACGTGTGTGTGTGTGTGCTAAGAACAGAAGCGATCATTTGTGGAACGTACATTTTTAGAGAATTTTTTAATCTAATTTAAATAAAGAGAAATTTTTCTACATGAAGAAACTCTTCTAAAGAAATAAACTTGCATCTCCTAAAAAGTACAACAGTGTTAAAGCCAAATTCTTCTAAGGGAGATACTACCCACTCCTACATCTAGTAGAGCTACTACCTACACCCAACACACCTTAAACCTTACCTTTGCATCCACAAAGCTTGGCCTTTATCATTGTGCTGCTGTATTCAAGACAAATGCACACGTAGTTCTGCTATTATACACCAGGCTAACAAATGCTAAAGGTACGGTTCACTAAAAAACAATGTTTTAATTATTATTTCTGATTTCATGAATTTTTCATGCAATGTGACGTTGGCTGTTGGCAGGGTGAACATGAAAATGGTCTTCTAACCATTTCTCCTGAAAATCTAGGTTCAGAAAAGCCTGACAGATCTACATCACACTGTCACTTAAAGAGCAAGTCACCCCCAAATAAATGTTTTTTTTTTTGCTGATTAACTATATAACTGAGTGTCTAATCATGCTGTAGATGCGTGTAGCCAATCATTTGGTACTTTAGTGCATCTTAGTTCAAATTTAAATATTCTGGCAGTGTTGTGTCGTCGTCAGGTAAAAACTCTACACTGCATTTGAATTAAAATCTGCCACTGCTATTGGCTAAGAGGTACACTATGACGTTAGCTGGTACATTATGATGTCACAATGTTGTTGTGAGCATGTGTGTTTGTGTATTTGTTAGGGGCCCCGCCCTCTCGGTCTGCCAGGCAACAGCATTTATTGTAATTTTCAAACATGAAGTGGAAGTGGAGTAAAGCCTTGGGCATACTGGAGACAGAGGCGCACTCGCGTCGTGCCAACGTGGTGACTCTGTATCTGGTTTAGAGGGCTTTCACACCATCTCACCGCTGCTCTCTTTTTTTTCTTTCGTGATTTCCAAACTAACCAGTTAGTGAGGTATTTTATTGACGCCATGTTTGTTTTGGCTGTACCCACAAATCCAGCTCTCTCCATCTGGTCTGAATAGTCTAGTGTACCCCTTAATGGAATGCTCCAGAACTACATGCAGTGCAGTGCTGTGTAGTAGCAAGTATGTGAACAAAGACGCAGCCTGCTGCCTGCACCAACACGAGGTCAAACAGCAAGTATATCACAGCCCTTAGCATTAGCAACTCCACAACACAGCAGAACTCCTTCAAGCTTGTGCTTTTTGTGGAGATAAAGCATCAACGTTGCAGAGCTAACAGAGTCAGTGATAGAGTTGCTTTGCTGTTAGCAGATCAGAAGGGAGATGTTCAAATCCAAATCCTGCCACCTGAAGCTTCTTTCTCATGCTGATTTGTACTTCCTGAAACAGGCATACCCACCCCTACCTCCGAAAATGGCATTCCTGCTAGAGACCACTGCAAATGTATAGAGCTCAGGGAGTTGACGTCACTTCTCCCGGCATGCAACAGTTCCAATCAAAACGGCGCCATCTTGGCAGTCAGAAGCCCGCGGCTGGACTATTTGTTATTGTCAGAAAACTCAATCAAACAGGAAATATGGTAGATTCCTGTTGTGCCCCAGAATGCAGAACAGACGTGGACGACATAAGGAATGAGCCATCTACAGGATTCCCCAAGATCCGGAGCGCTGCAAACGTTGGATCGTTGTAATAAAACGCGCTAGTGACCGGGCTAAAATGAAACTGTGGGATCCCGAGAGAAAAGGTTTTCGCTTATGCAGCGACCACTTCATATCAGGTACTTAAACCAACGTTTCCTCAACTGTGTATGGTGTTTATTTTAAATGCTTTTATTACGATTCTTAGTGGGCTTCCTAAACTTATTTTGGCGTGGCTTTTTCTCTCTTATTACTCACAGCAACAAGTAAACGTCACGTAAAACGTTGCCTCGTGTTTCTGCGTGCTGCCGTTTACGTGTTTTATGATCACAGCAATTAACCGGCTAAGCTGTATTTAATTTTTAAGCAATGGTTGATCAATTGTCAGATCACACATAAAAAGCACTTTGGATTGCTATTATCTGTCTCACCGAGACAGATCTCAGACAGATCCTGAGACGCTCCTGCCTGACATATTTATTTTATTCACGGAAAAAAATCAGACTAGTGATTTCTCTTGGCGCTCAGTTTATACTTTCAAACAGCACAGCACTCTATTTAAACTACTTACATGTAAATCTATGTTATTTGTCCATCCATCTATTTTCATCCGCTTATCCGGAGTCAGGTTACGGAGGCAGTAGCCTAAGTCGAGCGGCCCAGACTTCTCTCTCCCCAGCCACTTGGGCCAGCTCCTCCGAAGAAATCCCAAGGCGTTCCCCGGCCAGGTCCGGTAAGAAGTCCGCTCTGACAGCTTCTGGCATTTTTAAAAAGTATCCCAGGGGCACGGTAAGGGTCGGAGATGTTTAGTCAATTTAATTTCTGACTATATAAAAAGATTTATTTGGTTTTAAAGTGTGAAGTAAACTCCAACGAAGTAAAATCCAAGCCGATCCCGTTCATTTTGTTTACATTTGTTGCCTGCCAACATGGCGTCTACTCTCTGAGAGTCACGTGACGTCCGGAGCTCTATTGATTAAATGGGTGAACCACATCTTTAAAGAGAACCATGGCTATGTGTCAGAGTAAGTTTTTTGGGTTTCATGCAACACACAACATCTAGAAAAGAATGAAGTGGGTCAGATGGTTCAGAGATCCAGAATCACATTATCACCAGTACTCCTGCACAGCTTGTGGCCATTAATTAGACAATTTTCTTTAAAGTCATGATTATTTGATATGTGACAACCCAAATAATTGACTGTGGTGTTAAAACTAAAAGGTAAAGTTCAGGGTTGAACAGTACCTGCAGATCTGTGATGGAGACGCTGTGGGACTCCACGGTGGGCCGGCGGGGCAGACGTGGAGAAGAATGGGGTGATGTGATAGGAGAGTATGGTAGTGATGGGTAAATATAGCGCCCGTTTAATCCAGGGGAGCTGCAGGGGGATGCTGCCGTCTGTGAGCGCTCCTGCAAAGAGAGCTTCCGGTCGGACAGGCTCAGCCTGCCCCTCTGCTCTTGGCTTTCCGGCAGCAGAGCCTCTGGCCGACCAAATGTATGGGACAGCAGGTCACAGGATGGAGTCCGGAAAGGTGCTGCAGGGGAGGAAGCAGGCTCGGGCGTCTCAGAGCTGTCCATTTCTTCTACCTGATGTAGTGCATAGAAATAATTTTTGTTACTTCATTTTAACATAAATAAATGTCAGTAGAGTACAAACTTTTAATAAGGTGTTAAAGTTTGTGTTTTTATTCAGGCTAGCATTTGAAACTTCACTTTAGGTCAATATGAAGATTTATTACAAATTTTCCCAATTATGTATTTGAATCTTGCACTTTCTATAAATCAGATTATTTTTCATCTCACCTCTTCCTCTGCAGCCTGTCCAGGTGGCCGGCTTGGTTCATACTCCGTGACCACGATGAGGGACTCCATGGGGTCCGAGGACAGTGTAAGTGTTTAAAGGTGGCACAGGACAGCTGCACAGCAGATCAGGGAGAGGTTGGGAGGGCTGCACTGAGGGGGCATGGCTACCGCAAGACGCTGGGGGCTCAGCAGAAGGCCAAGCAGTTACGTGGCAAGGAAACATGGTGCCTGTCCAGGAAGACTGAGAATCGCTGCTCCATCAGAGCAAACCTTCGAAGGGGAGATGTGTCTAAGGCAAAGGGACAGAAAAATATGGGTTTGTTTAGAAAGTAAAAGACAGATTGTTACGTAAAAAATTGCAAATACACACTTCCCCGCTACTGCACAACTACACATAAGCATATGAGAGGTGGTTAAACTGTCAGATTTTATGGGAATGTCTTTATTTTGCTCACAGCTGTGTCAACAGGTAGGAGTGTTAGCTGGAACCAATCTGCATTTCTTTAGCACATCTGAACTTCAAAGTCCCCATCACAGAAAAGTAAGACAAAAGCTGTTTCTCAGCTGACAACACATTTAAAGCAGCACAGCTCTATTTTCCACATTCAGAGTTCGTTTTTGATGTTGTTTATTTAGAGGACGGTACTGAAACCCACACTTCTCATGTGTCTTAGAAAGCATTTAACTATTAACCCCTAAAAGGGGTTGTGTATATTGTGTATCACAATAATAGGGGTTAGATTATGGAACAATTTAGAAGAGGAAATCAAAGTAAGTACAAATATAAATGTGTTTAAAATGAATTATAAAAAACATATTCTGAACAAGTATATAGTGGAAAATCGATGATTTAAGTGGGTGTCCTTTATTCTAAGGAAAAGTAAATTGTATCAATTGTAAAAACATGTGTTTTTTTTTGTTTGTTTGTTTTCCCATATGGTTTGGTGTTTATTTTTTATTTTTTGGTGACTTGTACCATTTTGTTTGTTTTAATGTAGGTTTTGTGTTAGATTTAGTAAACAAGTAAAACTTACTTGTATAAAGGGGTAGGGACATATAAGTTCCCACTTCTGCCTACTCCTTTTCAAACAGAGAAGAAGGGAGGATGATATGTATTTTTTCTGTTTGTGGTATTTTAAAAAAAATGATGTATGTTTTCTTTGTTTGAAATAAACTAAACTAAACTAGAAAAGAACATACAGGATCCAAGCACACTAGTAATCAGTTTTGTTATACTTTCAGTAAAACAAAAATATTAAACATGTTTTTTTTCATTAGGATAGAAACATAATGTCAGGCGTGCTGGTGAGTGAGACGGAGGTGAGGATCCACACACGGGTGAAGGAGGCAGGCAGGCAAACAGGAACATTAAAACAGGGATTTTAATCGGGAACACGCTGACATAGAAACAATGATCCAACACGAGACACAGAACTGAAGGGGTTTAAATACAAGAGGGCTGGGAGCTTGGGTGATTGGAAAACGAGAGGCAGGTGGGAGCAATTAGAGACACATGACTAAACAGAACGGGGAGACAGGACAGGGTGTGACAGTACCCTACACCCCCCCCCCCCCTCAAAGGGCGGATCCCAGACACCCACAGGAACACAGAGCAGGGTGGGAGAAGGGGGACCAGGAAGGAGGGCCAAGAGGAACTGAGGGACCGGTGGAGAGGAGGCAGGAACCAGTAAAGTCCAGGGAGCTCCGTCTGGGGCAGAGGAGGAGACGACGACGAGCTCTTGGGGGCCTGCGTCTGGGGCAGAGGAGGAGACAACGACGACGAGCTCTCTGGGGCCTGCGTCTGGGGCAGAGGAGGAGACGACGACGAGCTCTTGGGGGCCTGCGTCTGGGGCAGAGGAGGAGACGACGACTGGATCTTGGGGGCCTGTGTCTGGGGCAGAGGAGGAGACGACAACAGGATCTTGGGGGCCTGCGTCTTTGGCAGAGGGGGAGACGCCGACGGGCTCTTGGGGGAGGCAGAGACGCTGGAGGAGACGTCCTTGACTTCTGGACTGGAGGCGGCAGCGTCGACCTCTGGGCTGGAGGCGGCGTCGACCACGGCACTGGAGGCGGCGTCGACCACGGGACTGGAGACGGCGTCAACCACGGGACTGGAGACGGCGTCGACCACGGGACTGGAGACGGCGTCAACCACGGGACTGGAGACGGCGTAGACCACGGGACTGGAGACGGCGTCGACCACTGGACTGGATACGGCATCGACCACTGGACTGAAAATGGGGTCACTGGACTGGAGACGGAGTCGACCTCTGGACTGGAGGGTGCGTCGGCCTCTGGACTGAAAATGGGGTCATTGGACTGGAGACGGAGTCGACCTCTGGACTGGAGGGCGCGTCTACCTCTGGACCTGAGGGAGCGTCGACCTCTGGACTGGAGGGAGCGTCGACCTCTGGAGTGGATGAGGCGTCGACCTCTGGAGTGGATGAGGCGTTGACCTCTGGAGTGGATGAGGCATTGACTTCAGAACACGAGGAGGCGTCGACTTCAGAACACAATGAGGCGTCGACTTCAGAACACGAGGAGGCGTCAACCTCAGGACACGAGGAGGCGTCGACCACAGGACTGGAAGAGGTGTCCACCACAGGACTGGAAGAGGCGTCCACCACAGGACTGGAAGAGGCGTCCACCACAGGACTGGAAGAGGCGTCCACCTCCGTCGACTTCTGGTCCGGAGGTGTCGACTTCTGGTCCGGGGGCATCGACTTCTGGTCCGGGGGCGTCGGCTTCTGGACCGCCGACTTCTGGACCGGAACCGTCGACTTCTGGTGTGGAGGCGGAGCCGCTGCAGGAGGAGCTGCGGACTAATGGACTGGCCAGCCCGGGGGAAGAGCCTCTTGGGTCACCGCCGGGACCAGAGCGGACCGAACTGGAGGCGCCGGAAACTGGGAGAGCAGGGAGGACAGATCGTCCAGCTGGAGCTCCTGGAGACTGAGGGACTGATGGAGTTGGGCCAGCACAGCTCGGAGACCGGCGAGCTCTGCTGGGTGGACTGCAGGCTCGATCCTTTGGTCCTGTGACGAGGGAGCTGCTGACTGGACTGACACCTACTCCTGGTGATGCGGGGAGGATAGGGTGTCCAGCTGGAACTCCTGGAGGCTGACGAGCTGACGGATCCGGCCAAGCTCTGCCGAGGCTGAAACTCGGTGACGGCGTCCGCGGCGAGGCGACGCCGGAGGAGGAGAAGCTGGCCAGTGGTCCGAGGAGAGGAATTGGAGCAGGCACTCCCAGGGGAGAATCTCCCCGCTGGATCCTTTTGTGGGTTGGATCACTCTGTCAGGCGTGCTGGTGAGTGAGATGGAGGTGAGGATCCACACACGGGTGAAGAAGGAGGCAGGCAGGCAAACAGGAACATTAAAACAGGGATTTTAATCGGGAACACGCTGACATAGAAACAATGATCCAACACGAGAAACAGAACTGAAGGGGTTTAAATACAAGAGGGCTGGGAGCTTGGGTGATTGGAAAACGAGAGGCAGGTGGGAACAATTAACAGAGACACATGACCAAACAGAATGGGGAGACAAGACAGGGTGTGACACATAACCTCATTTACGTAAATAATTCAGTGTGAATTTACCAAAAAAAGGTTTGCTTTCAGTATGAGATCTGGACGTTAAAATGTCCACATGGAAGATCTGGTGCTAGCACAAACTAGCTCTTAGTATTGGTGAGTTCACAACCCAAACAAGGAAAATCCCTTTCAGATTAGCTAATTCCTAATTAGGTTGACCATACCCAATTTTGGTGGGTTTGATGCTTCTCTTGCAGTTATAAAAAAACATAACATGTTATTGCCTCCAAGGGGGTTAAATTCATGCAAACACATCTAGTATGGAAAATTTCTGCTCTGTTAAGCAGATACAGCATTAAAAACTCAGTGAGAGCAAAGTTTCAGTCCGTTTTTGATGTCAGTCATCTGACATGAATAATTATAATCTGCAAAGCATCTAAACTAAAACACGTATCTGCATCATTTCAATCTTACTGTGGTGTGTACTTGTTTTCTAAATAATAAAAAAAAGAATGCAGAACATGACTACAAATCTGCATAATTAATGGCATACCTTAAGGATGGTGGGAATGTGGCTATTTGGGTGATAAAATCCACAGAAATTGGAAAACAAAAGAAAGCCTTTAAATAAACAACACTGTGAATGTTCCAGCCAAGTGTTGAATAAGTATCATATGTGGGAGGAGACACCCACTTCAGGTGGCCCTTCCTGACTATATATAGTGCTGTGAACTAGCAAGGAGAATAGCTGGTTCATGGGGACCTGCTCATCAGCTGTTTTTACACTTGTCAGAATGACTTTACAAAACCTTAATATCTTAAGATATTATGTCACACTAATTAAAATGCAATTCAACATTTTCTACCCAGTATTTAGCACAGTCTGAATGCCACTAACATCTGAAAACTTTCTATGCCTCTTAAAATGATCACGACGTTCCCTGATGCATTAAGCATCGGCATAGTCAAGAAATACTAAGTCACGACACTGATATTCACAGCTGCAGCAGGCAAGAGAGCTTAAACTACTTAAAATGACTGACCTACTTTGATAAACTGTTTTAAAAAATAAAACCCTATCTCTGTTAACTGTGCATGCATGTGTGTGAGTGTGTGTGTGTAGGGGGGGATGCAGTTTGTTTACTGATGATGGTATCACAATCCCCTATGCAGCGTGGCAGGTCTTGAAATTCATTTTAATCAGTTAGCTTGCTGCCTTTTGTTATTGCAAACAGTGGAGTTTCTTTGCTATCAGTGGTATTTACATGTACAAAATTAGCCTAACCCAATAAAAAAACAAAAACTGTAGTTGAGTGAAACAGCACAGCCTCAAATAAAAGGTAAGCAATATTATAAACAATGAATCTGCCTGATTAAAACCATTTTATTCCCCTGATCCCAAATCATCACACCAGTCTCATGAAGCACATGCTGTACTTCTATTATTACTAATATCACATGCCAAACCCTTCACAGAGGAAGGAAGGATTCCAGTCTACTATCCATCCTGGTCCTCCTTGATCTGAGTGCGCCCTTGACACAATATCTCATTCCATTCTCCTCCATAGGTTATCTTCCATCGGCATTGCTAACATCCCACTTCAGTGGTTTCAGTCCTACCTATCAGGTCGCACTCAGTTCATTACTATCAAATCCTCCCGCTCACAGCCCTCTTCTGTCTCTTCTGGCGTGCCCCAGGGCTCTGTCCTGGGGCCCCTCCTTTTCATTATATACATCCTTTCCCTTGGCAATATTTT